AGAGAAGTACTTCCTGGGGCTGCCGCTCGTAGGTCCCAACCCTCTCCAAAGATTCTGATCCCGGCAGCTAACCAGCTACACCAGGGCCTGCCCGATCTTCCTCCCCCCGAGAGCCCCCTCGATGCTGCCACCAACGGCTTGACGTTCTTCGAAAAGTTGCAACTCGACCCCGGCGAATGGGGTTGCGAATACGGTGGTCCCATGTTCCTCTTGCCGGGCATTGTCATCACCTGGTACGTGACCAAGACGCCCATCTCGACGTTTCACGCTACAGAGATCAAGAATTACCTCTTCGCGCGGGCCGACCCAGAACTCGGCGGATGGGGACTGCACACCGAGGGAGAGAGCACGGCCTTTGGCTGCACCCTGAGTTACACAGCACTCAGGCTTCTGGGCGTGGATGCTGAGGATCCCATCATGGTCAAGGCCAGGGCTCGACTCCACCAGCTCGGAGGCGCCACCAGCAGCCCCCACTGGGCCAAGTGGTGGCTCGCCGTGCTGGGCGTCGCGAGCTGGGACCTCGTCAACCCTGTGCCCCCCGAGTTATGGCTGGGTCCCGGACTGGGTGCCGATCGCTCCTTGGAGGTGGTGGATCCATATCCGCCAGGTCTACTTGCCCATGTCGTACATTTACTCGAGGCGGTGGAGCTGTGAGGAGACGGACGTGACGCGGCAGCTGAAGAATGAACTGTTTGTCCAGCAGCACGCATCAATCAACTGGAAGGCCCGCCGCAACGACATTGCGACGACAGACAATTATCACCCCAAGACCTGGGTTCTCAACACGGTCAACTGGCTCCTCGTCAATATTTGGGAGCCGTATCTGAAGACCAGCGCGATCTGGAGAAGGCCGAAGCGTGGGTCAGTGAAGCTGGTTGACATGGAGGATGCGAATACGGATTATGCAGGTCTGGCGCCGGTGAAGCAATCCCATGAAATGAGATTGTGTGCTACATTCGCGATGGGCCCGGTTCGTACTCTGTTCGACGACACACGGAACGTCTTCCACGATGCTCTCTGGATGAATGCCGAGGGCATGCTGTGCAACGGCACCAACGGCGTGCAATCTTGGGACACGGCATTTACAATCCAGGCCATCATGGCGGCGGGGCTTGAGAAGGACGAGAGGTGGCGGCCCATGCTCAACAAGGCGCTCGGGTTCCTCGACCGACAGCAAATCCGCGAAAACTGCAAGGACCAGGAGAAGTGCTACCGGCAGCACCGCAAGGGTGGTTGGCCCTTCAGCAACCGGGACCAGGGCTACATTGTCAGCGACTGCGTCTCGGAATGTATCAAGTCAGTCATCATGCTGCAAAAGAGCGAGGGGTACCCACAGCTGCTTGATGATCAGCGCATCTTCGACGCCATCGACGCCATCCTGCTCTTCCAGAACGACACGGGCGGTGTGGGTACCTACGAGAACAGGCGGGGCGGGAAGTACATGGAGTATCTGAACGCGGCCGAGGTGTTCGGCAACATCATGGTCGAGTACGACTATCCCGAGTGCACGACGGCGTGCCTGACGGCTCTGTCCCTGTTCAGGGAGTACTGGCCGGAGTACAGGGCCGAGGAGATCAAGGTCTTCTGCGACCGAGCCGTCAAGTGGATCACGTCGAACCAGACGGCCGAGGGCGGATGGTATGGCAGCTGGGGCATCTGCTTCACGTACGCCGCCATGTTCGCGCTCGAAAGTCTGGCGGGCGTGGGCGACGTATACGAAACCAGCGCGCCCTCGAGGAAGGGCTGCGATTTCCTCGTGGGGAAACAGCGATTTGACGGCGGCTGGTCGGAAAGCTACAAGGCCTGCGAGACGATGAAGTGGGTCGAGCATCCCAGTGGTTCTCTCGTCGTCCAGACGGCGTGGGCCGCGCTGGCCTTGATGGAGGCAGAGTACCCAGACGTCGGGCCCATCAAGAGGGCTATCCGGTTCATCATGAGTCGGCAGCAGACCAACGGCGAGTGGCTGGCCGAATCCATCGAAGGCGTCTTCAACAAGAGCTGCATGATCACGTATCCAAACTACAAGTTCACCTTCCCCATCAAGGCTCTGGGCTTGTTTGCGAAGAAGTACCCAGATGAGGTGATCAATCTGGAGGAGGAGGACTGAGGACTTGAATGAATCGATATCACGACGGAAAGAGACATAAGTAGGACTCTAATAGTAATTAACACCAAGTGTACATAGATGGCCCGAATTGCTATTATGACGGAAAGAGACATAAGCAGGACCTGAGTATTAATGAATACCAAGTGTACATAGATGACCCTTGGGAATGGCCCCTGTCGTTGGACTTGACAGGGAGCTGTCCTTTGGTACTGCCAGATGGAAAGGCGGTCAACATTGGTCGTGAGGTCCAGGCCACAAAGGCCCTCTGACGCGGGGGGCGAAACGGCAGAATCAGGCTGCCCCGCCATAGCT